CACGTAAAGGTTACTCCAACTTCACCAACTACAACAGAAGTTCAAATTATTAAAGTTAAACCTGAAGATGAAGGTGATTATACAGTTGAAGTGAAAGGTGTTGAACAACCACTTGTTCGACTTAAAGTTCATCCAAAACCAGTTATTCGACAAGAAATGCAATTACCAAAAGTTAAATTCAATGAAAAAGAAACACTTACTATTGTTTGTCAATTTGATGCTACACCTGAAGAACCATTCATTTTTCTTCATAATGAACAACCAATTGTACCAGATTCTCGTGTGACAACTACTGTTGAAGATAATAAATATACAATTGTTGTAAAAGATCTTCGTCCAGAAGAAGATGAAGGTGTTTACACACTTCAATCAGATCATTTGATTCTTGATACACCATCAATCACTGTCGTTCCTGAAGAAAAGAAACCCGAAATAGAAACAACTACTGTAGAAGAAGAAACAGTGACAGTTGTACCACAAGAACAACAACCTGAAAGAGTTGTTCAAGAAGTAGAACAAGTAACACAAATACCAGAAGAGGGAAAGGTAAGAATATTTGTATATTGGTTCGAAATTTCCGAAACCATGCTTTGTACTGTTTAGCCTGAGGAAGTGTCCGAAACTTCGATTCGAGAAGTAGAAGAAAATAGTACAGTTACTTTGACAGTACAGTTACCTGAAAGCACACCACAGAAACAAATAATACTTCTTAAAGACAAGAAACCAGTGAAACCTTCAGAACATATCAAAATCACCCGAACATCATCAACAACTATTGAAATACAAATTATTAAAGCCAAACCTGAAGACGAAGGAAAGTATACCTTCATCATTGATAAAAAAGAACGACCAATAATGCAACTTAGAGTTATTCCCAAACCAGTTATTCATCGGACAATGGATATACCTCAAACAATATTTAAGGAAGGTGAAACATTGACAATAAAATGTCAATTTGATTCTCCACCTGAAGAAACATTTGAATTCTTGAGAAATGGAACGCGACTGAAACCTGATGATCGAATTTCGACTACTGTTGAAGATAATACATATACAATTGTTGTAAAAGGTTTGAAACCACAAGAGGATGAAGGTGTTTACACACTTAAATCAGATCATTTGATTCTTGATACGCCAGCAATTACTGTTATTCCTGAAGAAAAGAAACCGCAGACTGAAACTACAACTGTTGAAGAAGAAACGATCACTATTACAACTGAGCAACCACAAGTAAGAGAAGTGACTAAGGAATTAAAACCGCTAAGTGTGTTTCTTCAGCTTGCGTTCAGATTTTTTTCTTAAACTGAAATTATAACCGAATTATGAAATTGACACCCATTGTATATCTTCGCTTGTTGTAGGAAACAAAGAAAAAAACAGAATTGCCTGTACATGAAGTTGAAGAAACAAGTACTGTGACATTAACTATTGAACAACCTCAAAGCACAAAACCAGAAGATGTTGTTTTACTTAAAGATGGAGAAGAATTAAAACCTTCAGATCACGTAAAGGTTACTCCAACTTCACCAACTACAACAGAAGTTCAAATTATTAAAGTTAAACCTGAAGATGAAGGTGATTATACAGTTGAAGTGAAAGGT